GGAAGCCGTGTGAGAAGCAGATGATGTTCCATGGTCTGTTCAGCCTGGAGGAGACTGAGGGGAGACCTCAGTGTGGTCTTCAACATCCTCATGAGGGGAAGAGGAGCAGCAGGTACCAGTGTCTTCACTCTTGTGACCAGTGACAGGACCCGAGGGAACGGCCTGAAGTTGTGTCAGGGGAAGTTTAGGCTGGATATCAAAAAAGGTTCTTCACCCAGAGGGTGTTTGGGCACTGGAACAGGCTCCCCAGGGCAGTGCTCACAGCACCAAACCTGACAGTTCAAGAAGAGTTGGGACAATGCTCCTGGGCACATGGTGTGACTCAGGGATGGGCCAGGGGCCAGGAGCTGGACTCGATGTTCTTTGTAGGTCCCTTCCAGTTCAGTTTGTTCTGTGATTTTGTGATTCACAGTCCATTGTCAATAGATGTCATATATAACCTCTGAAGAAGGTTGCTTTTCTCTGATTGCTCATATTTAGGGAACCACAGTTACTACTTTTTTACCAGTGAGAGCTGCTGCAAGTTCAGTGTTTGCCTCCGCCCTCTGCATTTTTGTAATTTTACAGTAGAGCTTTTGTCTAAGAGCAGAATGGAAGATGTTTCATGAAAGATTCCATTCAGTGACCTAATATTCAATTGAAATTTAAGGTGTAAGGTTTTCTTTGTTTGATTTTTTGAAAATCAGATTATTTTCAGCATGCTAACTGGTTTGGATCTATAAGCCAGGGTGCATGGAATATGTTATAACAAATATTTCTCTATACTATCACTGCATCTTCCTTTACATCGTTCATTTTAACACATCTGTTGCAACAGTTAATGAGTAAAGAATCAATAGCTCAGAATAAAGCACCCTGTAGTTCTGATAGGTGCACAAATGAAACATGAAAGCAGACTAAAAAGCCCCCCATATCTCTTAGAATTCCAAAATCTTCTAAGGCTTAAAATCAGTTTGGAATAACCAACAGAGGGTTTGCTGCATTAGTTATTTTGGATTATTTCGATTTGTCTTCCTTTTTTTAATTTTTTTAAAAATTTTTTTAAATTTTTTTAACTAATGCCAGTCAGTATTTATTTGAATATTGTGAATTCTACCTATAATATCTCTGTGGAATTAAGAATTATCTCTTATAGGTACCTGGGAACTTTTCAGTTCCTCATCCACACAAAGGCTAGATATCTCTAGAGTTTGCTTTGACACACTAGACCAATTAGAGAAATACCTTAATTCATTAGTTTCACAATATCTAAAAATATGTACGGTTGCATAAACCCCCTCAATTACAATAATCTATTTTCTCATATATAAAATTAATTTTTTGGAATAAAAGGCAAATTTAAATGCAGTAGAAAAGTTCAGAAATGTGGAAGATAAAGAGAGGTGCTGATTATTGCTGGTGGCCTCCATACTATCCTTGGCCAACTCCTTGTGCTTTGGTTTCTCTCTGTGTAACAGGTTATGATCAATGCCTGCACACTTTACAGTGAATGACACAAGGTTATGGTTCAGTGTTACTCTAATAAAAATGATAAGAAGATCATGTTAAATCCCCTTTCCCCTTTTGGATGATATTTCCTGAAAGGTTTTTCAGGTTGACCTGTCTCAGCAGAAAATTATTGTGGCATGCAGGAAAGAAAAATCTTACAACTGAGACTAAGTCTTGAAAGAATTTTTTTGACTAAATATTGCTGGAGGTAAAGTTTTATTTTCTTTGTTGGAATCTGTGTCACCCGTAAAACCTGGAATAATGTGAGTCTCCTCAGGCTCTACTGTACTTGCAGAATATATTGGAAACAATGCAGAAATAAGGATTTTGTCTGTCAAATACTAGAATTCTCATATTTATTAAAACTAATATGCACAGACAAATCGAGTGTGTAGCAGAGAATATTATATGTCTAATTTTTATGCAAATAGAACTATTAAAAATATTAAAAAATATTAACTGTGGCATGGGTAAGTTTGTGACCTCTGAATGCTGTCTTAAAGAGTAACTTATTATTTGAAGTGTCTGCTGTTATTTATTTCATTTGTCTCAGCCTATTTTTCATTCCAGGAGGATGTTGGTGCAGAGAGGAGAAAACAGGCTATTGTAGAACAAGTTATGGTGGATCAATTATATAGGTAAATGAATTTAAAATGCAAAATTTCAATTTCCCCTACAGAAGAATTTAGATCTGTTAATGTTTGGCTTTTCTTGCTTAAGAGGTACTTCGGCCATCTTGTTCCAAGGCTTATGAAATCTTATGTAGGAGTACTATTTGCAAAAATTCTCTAAGTGAAAAGTCTTTTTAATGCAACTTAAAATATCCGTTTAAAGTGCCATGTGTATGTTATTTTTTTCTGGAAATAATTTTTAATTTTATACTTGAACCTGTTTCAAGGTATTTACAATAGTCTCTTGCAACTCAAGAAAATATATGGATGCCTGATGTTATAAATTACACATCCTTAATATTTATAGTTCTTTCTGAAAATCTTAGCTTTATGAATATTTATTAAACATTTATTAATACTGGCACAGCACCTTTCAGGCATAAAGGAGTATTAGACCAATGCTGGGCATTTAGGAAAAAAAGGCACAATTGTAAATTGAGTTGATCCACGTTGTACAGTAAGATCTCCTGCCTTCGTTGCTATCCCTTTAGCTTCAAGAAAGCATTGCTTCTGTGCAGAAAGATCCCTCTATTTTAGGCATGCTTTAATAATTCAGGGCTTTATGCAAGCTGTCTGGTTATGACAATATAAGAAGATGCAAGCTAGTTTAATATAGTTTCATGTTACTTTACACTTACTAAAAATTATCTGTGGGTACGTCTAGATTATTTTGCATTCTGTGCATAGTTTACAATTTGTGGAGTGATCTGCACTGATGTTCCAGTCCAGCAGATGCTAAGATTTTGAGGTTGAAATGTTGCTGCACTTCACCATTTTAGTTTTTCTTTGTTTCTGTTACAGTGGTAGTTTAAATGACCCATATTGTTTAAAAGTCTATTAGCACTTTTACAGTATTTAAAAGCTGACAAAAAGGTTGCCTGAGGGAAATAAGACTGTCATGAAACACAACGTTAAATTCCAATTTTAATCCTCATTTAGCGGGATTAAAATTATGGAACTATGCAGGGTAGAAACCCCCCCGTTTTCAGGTAAGTGCTTGGCCTGTGTAATATCCCTTTAAAGATTATTACAAAGGTGATCTTAGAATACACTGTTTATGTTGAAGTGTTTCAGTACTACTGATATTACATTAAACGTAGAGCTTTGTGCATCTTGGATCACAGATGCCCATTCTGTGGTTAACCTCCTCCTGCTGCTTTACCTTATTTTTCCCATGTATTCCTTCTCCTACTCTGAACCCTTCTGTTGATAATGTCAAAACAATATTCAGTAGTGCTGCAGCTGCATCAGGATGAAGTTTTAATTTAAAAAATCTCTCTGTTTATGTTCCAAATATAACTCTGCCAGTATTTCTAAACAAATTGGTATCAGATATCAGGATGTTAATCGGAAAAGATTCATTCAAAACTGTTGCATGAAAAAAAGCTATTAAAGGAAATACAAAGGTGTTTTGAAGATGTTTTTTAGTAGAGCAAATCTTGCAGTTAAATCAGTGTAACTGATGTGTACAAAGATGTATCTGTATAGATCAGAGAGCAAGTTTAGAAAACTATAAGAGCCATGCAAAATTATTTTTTCCCTTCTGATAATCATTTCAATAGCATAACAAGCATCTAATTTATTTTTAAAGGGTCTCTTCTTTTGTTTACTTGTTGAACTGATACAGAGAATATCAAAGTGTTCAAAACCCAGTTCCTCTGTTTCTTTTCTTCTTGTTGGGACTTTGAGATCCTCTCAGCTGTGCAGTTAGCACTTTGAAGGTGGACCTGCCAATGTTTTTGTTGGATGACAGATTGGATTGGGCTCTGAGCAACCTGGTCTAGTGAAGTGTCCTGCCCACAGCATGGGGGTTGGAACTGCATGATCTTTAAGGTCCCTTCCAACCTAAGCTGTTTTATGATTCTGAGGTGATGTCACTGGCCAGTGGCAGTAACTGATGTCACTGGTATTGGAGAGAGCTATGCTTAAAGAATATCACTGATGGAATATTTACAGAAATAGTAGAAATGATGAAAAACCTCACAAGCCTTCATAACACAAAGATTTATTTTATATGAAGATATATATAAAATATACTTTAAATAATACATATCTGCATGTAACATTACTACATAGCAGTGCACTGCTAGAATATTATTGCATATGTTTGATTTTGAAAAATAGATTTAACGATTTGTAAAACAAACAAAAAATTAGGCCCACAAATTTATGCAAACTTAATGGACAATTCCAAGATTGTATTACTGTACTATTCTTGGGTGTTTTCTTTCCTGCATAAAAATATATAAGACCTGAAATTCAGCCATACTAATAGTCAGAGGTCTTCTCCCTGCTCTTTGTGGTAGAGCTGTTTTAAGTGATCCAGAGCAGTCCACACCTTTTGATGCTTGCAAGGAAACTCAAGGACTTCTGGGAGTTGAGATAGCACCAATGCATTTTAGGAAAAGGACAGTCCATGAAACGAAGTAAGTTTATAAAAATAAATTTTCTGCTGTATATATATATATTTTTAGCTCCATTAATTCTGTTTGTCTTTTCAGATAATCTGTATTTGACTTGACTCCACCAGCTTCATGTGAGCTTTTTTGTAGCTTTCCTGTGTTTGTTATCACCTAGTGAGATAATAGGGGCCTTTTAATGTCAATTCTCTGTGTATTATGATTGATTCATAGAATTTATAAAACCTGAGAGAACATTGTTAAGCTTATATTGATATTATTCATCTCAAGGATTTGCCAGTCTTTTCCAAGTGGTTGCAATCCTGTCAATATCCTTTTAAAGATTCCTATCCTTAGGTGCATAAATTGCATAAATATGCATCTGTAAATGCTAATGTAGATCTTCACAATATAATCATACTTTTCTTTCATGTTTTGATTTCTGCTGCAATAATTAATCCTATTGGCATTTAAATTACATTCCTGGACTGTCAGCATTGAACTAGTCGCTCCAAGGACTTAAAAAAAACTGAAGAAACACCGTGATCCATAAAATTAAATGAATCTGCAGGTCTGAGTTTTATTCTGTTAATTTTTCTCAACATCCAGGCAGGCATTTCTGCTTTGTGCATTTTAACGTCCTGCTCTAGAGACTTTCTCATCAAATGTCATCTTTGTATTCTTAAAAAAAGAAAAAAAGACAACAAAACCAGTCTCAATTTCTTAAATCCATCGCATAGACAAATATCCATTTCTGGAACTAGTGAACCAATATAAAATATTTAGGTGGGTAAAAATGCCCCAACCTGGGCATTTTTGCAAGAGAATGTATTGATTCATGGAAGTATGGTGAGTGGTAAAGGTTAATTCTTTATATAAGTGTATGTAAACAAAATTTCCCATTCATATCTATGTTCTCTGTGAATGTACTCTCATATTATATAATATCAGAATACTTTACAGCTCTGAGTTGCTTCTAATTCAACTACAAAGGATCATCTCCTCAGCCAGTTGCCAAGGATACCGTATTTCATGGTTTTTTGCTGTTTGGAAATGGTTGAGTTTTATGTAACACTTATCTGTGAGCATATAGGTATCATTAACATGCTGCATTATTTTCACAGAATAAGGACCAAATCCGGACTAACTGAGAACATGCTCTCCAACAAGCTGTGCTTTGATAGTAGGATTATATCGAGGTAATCACAAATTTTGTGAAGCTTTTCAATGCTCTGAATTTATGAATGAGGATTACTCTCTTGAAATGATTAATTGCACTGAATGTTTCTGCTCCCTTTGTTGAAGAAAAAGTACATGTAGGTGTCCATGTGTAGTACAAATTTTGATATGGCTAATGGATAGTGACTTTACAGTCCCACTGTACAATGTTAAGATCTGTAAGCAATATTAAGTTGCCATCATACCCATAGCTCTATTCAGGGCAGTTACCATAGGGGCTGTGTAAAATAGTGCTTTAAGCTGTTGCATCTCAGTTGATTAAAGTTATTTTAGCCTTATCTTATATCAGTGGCAACTGCTATAAGTAGTAATGGTTTTGCAACTTGTTCATGGCTCCTTATGTATTAAATTTAAGAACATCTTTGAAACTGTTCTGATTTGAGTAGTGGTAGCATAAACATATTTTTCAGTTTTGAAAGTGATGCTTTTCTGCAGCTGTGAGCTGTATATGTGTTAGACACAGCTGAGTATTCAGCAACAAATACTTTCAAATACCTCAATGAAGTAGTCCTGATGTATGTAATCCTTTAGTTAATCAGTGAAAATTATATTGGCATACTAAAACATGAAGACCAATCATGTCCTGTGCTGCACCAAAAGAAACATGGCCAGCAGGGCTAGGGAGAGGATTCTGCTACTTTGCCTCTCTCCTGTCAGACCCCACCTGCAGTGTTGTGTCCACCTCTGGGGTCCCCAGCATGAGAAGGACGTGTTGGAATGATCCACAGGAAGGTCACAAAGATAATCAAGGGGATGGAGCACTTCTCTAATGAAGATAGGCTGAGAGAGTGGAATTGCCCAGGCAGGAGAAGGGAAGGCTCCAGGGACACCCTCTTGCAGCTTTCCAGTGCCTACAGGAAGGCTGCAGAGAAGCTGGTGAGGGACTTTTTTAACGGGTGTGTAGCAACAGGACAAGGGAAGAAATTCTTTACTGTGAGGGTGGTGAGGCACTGGAACAGGCTGCACAGAGAAGCAGTGGATGCCCCGTGCCTGCAAGAATTCAAGGCCAGACTGGATGGAACTCTGAGCAGCCTGGTCTTCTAGTGGAAGGTGTCCTGGCCCATGCCAGGGGTTTTGGAACTAGATGATCTTTTAGGTCCCTTCCAACTCAAACCATTCTGATTCCAAAATAAATGTTGCTTATGTTTGGGTTGCATTTGATTTATATAGATGAAAAACATGAAGGTGCTTTTCAATTTTCCTTCTAGAAATGGTCACAATGCTTGTAGGGAGCTGATTGGATTTTTTTTGCATGTGACAAATCCCTTACTGTGTATGAATTTCGACAGTTTGGAAAAAACAGGTAGGATGAATTACTTTTTAAAAGAGTTTTAGAAAATATATTTCACTGTATCTAAGAAGCTTAAATAAATTTAATTGTTTTAGTACCAGTTTTGAATTATTTTACTGAACAAATGCCTTGCCTTTCATTCAGAAGGGAGTTTATCAACATCAACGTGGACAAAAAAAGGGAAAAGCTTATTATCTTAGTGATTTCTACATTGTACATATTCTTCTGCTGAATGTATTTGGACTACTTTTTTGAGATAATATTTGGATATTTGAATTGTAAATTGTGATCTAGCCTTCTGGGAAGACCAAAAGTCTTCCTCTTAAGTGACATTTTTGAGTTAAAGATTTTCAGAAGTCTGGATTGTTTTGTTGTCCCACGTTTCAGAGGTTCCCCGTTTATGTTTCGGATGGAGCTGTAGTTTGCAGTTTCCCCCCTAGAGGGCACAAGACTGCTGGCAGTGCGGATCGTCTTGGGACCAAAAAAACTTCCTGAAGTGGAAGCAGGACAAAGTACTTGTTAAAAGTAAATAATCTTTGCAAGGTCTGCTGGCACCTTTAACCCGAAGCAATTACTAAATATTTTTTAAACATGAAGAAATTGCAGGTTAATTGTTTTTAGCCTACAGTTTGAAATGTAAACGGCCAGATGCTTAGAGGAAGTGTATGAAACAATGTTAAGCTTTGTCTACCAGCAAATCTGATGGCTGATTAAAAATCATATTGCACCTTCTGTATTGCTGTACTTCTCTACTGGGTAAAGTGTTTATGGTTTATAAATATTTGAGCATGTTTTCAAGTACAGACCAAATGCTTCACATGTTCCTGCAAATCTGAAATTTAGAGGAAAAACTGTGTTTGTGAGAAATGTAGAAAGTAAAAGAAGTCAACATTAGTTTTTAGTGTGTTTTGTCTAATTATATGCCTATCCTAACCGCTTACACAACTACCTAAGAATTTTGAAGATGAAATAGATGAGTTTATGATATGGTAGATAAAGCTACTTGTTGGGATTTTCATATTTTATTGTCGTGTATTTTTGCAGCCTGCAGATGGAAATGTGTTCTGAATAAAGATGCATCATAAAGTCATCCAGAAAATGTACTGCACTGAGTTCAGTAGCTCTTTGGAGTGATGCTGTGTCTGTGACTCTCCATATCTGCAATCATGCTCTCTGGGCTGACATCAAGATATGCTGATCTCTCACAAAGTTCAAGTGGTAGAGACCCTTGCACAGTAACAGTGCCTCTGTCTCCTCCATCCAAATTCGTGAGTTTTGGAGACTTTATAAACCAAGCCTGCCCAGATATTACAGTTAGAGCTACTGCATTCTTTTATTCTTCTTTGCTTTTAGTTTGCTGCTTTTCCTTCTTACCCCTTCCCCTCTATTTATGAAATATACAACCTATTTTTAAATCATTGTGTGCTTTACCAACAGGGAGCCAATCTGACTTTCCGAAGTGTTGCTCATAACCTTCCAGAAAGTGTTAAGCAGAATCCCGTCTTCACCCTTTGTGTGATAAGTATTGATGAAGCAGCTACGGATTATCTAAAGTAACTGCTAACTGCTTTTCAAATTACCTTTCCTTCCTTAAGAAAAAAAAAGAAAAAATTAGCCCCTAATACCTTATTACTTATACTGCTAAAAACAGAATCCATATTTAGGCTGTTCTTAGGAGAAATTATTTATAGATGTTAGAGGATTTTGTGTAGTTCAGTAATTCCCTAGAATGGTAAGAAGTAATTTTAAAGTAAGAATTGAGATGGGAAGCTGTTCTATTTGCTTTGTTTAAGGTTATATGTTTTTATATACAAATCATATATCTCTTGTGTTTCAGTTTGTGCCCATTGCCTCTTTGCTTGTCAAAAGGCACCACTGAGCAGAGCCTGCTCAGTTTTCTTTACTCCTTTTTGTCAGGTATTCATACATACTTGAGGGTAAGATCCCTCAAGGCTTCTATTCTCCAGGCTAAACAGTTCCAGCTCTCCCAGCCTCTCCTCCTATGTCTTATAATTTGATCCTTTCCTGATTAAGAAGAGAATAATTTTAATCTCAATTAAACATGCTCAGTATCTAAAGACTACTTTGTTAGCAGAACTTGACTATTATTTTCTTTCTGCAAGTGTTTAGACAGATGAAGCTTGTTCTCAGATATGGTAATATTCACTTAAAGTCCCTTTAGACTGAAAGCTTTGCAAAGGAGCCATAGTAAGCTAACAGTGCATAGAACAGTAAATTCAAATTTAATTGATTCTAGAATCATATAGTTGTATGATGCTTAGTGCTAATTGCTCCCTCTTGGCAAGGTTTCAGTGAAATAAAACACAAGATAGTTTAATTTCAGATAGTTTATGTAAGACATTTTACATCTCAGAAGCCTATCGTTCAAGCAAACAACTTTTTCTTTCATTTGTTGCTAATCTTATATCTGTGAAATTTGGAGTTGAACCAATGTTATCTCTGAATAGAAGAACCAGAAAGAAGACCTGCTCAATGGGTTGTAATTTTGGATTTTGTGCTACCTGTGGTGAAATAGATTATTTCCTTTTTTATACCCTCTCTGTATTCTTTCCATTAGTGACTACATTTCAGTCTGTCTTTTTATTCTGTATAAGGATGTTACTGAGCTCTCTATTCTCAGGTGCAAAACCCTTGAACTGAGTCCTCTTACCTTCAAGGGAGCCCGAATGACATGGGTATGTCTTTCTAACTAGCACCATCATATGTAGACATGGTGTTCTTTACTTCTATATTGTCTCCATAGCAAGTGGACAACTTCAGATAAATGCTGTGTCCTTTATTTCTCTAAATCAGGTATATTCAGAGAAACACCAAGTAAAAGAGGAGTTCTGGTTATAACAGGCTTAGGAAAGTATTTCCAACAAATAGACAAGAACAGAAATGGCTTTCTCTCTCAGGCAGCCTTGAAAGAAGCTCTAAAAGTATTCCACTTGGAGATGCCTGAAGGGGTGAGTCTAGATGAAACTGTAACTGTGGGTATTATCTTTCTTAATTTATGGGAATGCTTCTTTTTTTTGCTTAAATCTATAGTTTAATACCTGGGTTGTGCATGTTTTCTTTTGGTGTTTTTTTTTTTTTTCCATTATGGCAAGTTGGCATTTCTGCATTCAGTTCTATGTGAAGTTCTTAAAAATGAAAAGAATATATTTTGAAACTTGCAATCTTTTTACATCATGACATGAAGAAGCCAAGTGTGACTGCAACCCATTTTTTCTATTTAGACTTTTAAAAAATAATTTAGTTTATGGTCTTTACTTAGGTTTTTTCTTTGTTTTATATATTATGTTGTTAAAGTAGCTCTAATCTATCAGAACTGCCAATAATGTCAATTATGGCCATGGTGACCACTGACGAATGTGTTATTTTTACAAATCTTTGAGTGAGTTTGGATTGAGAAGTTTGAGGGGTTTTGTGAGAATACTGTAATTTCCCATTACAGAAATTGTTCTATTTCAGGATATAGTGAAGGATTTTGGAAAAATATTTTTAAATTTCAGGACTTTGACTCCTTATGGCTTATTCATGATGATAGCAAGAGCGATAAGGTCGACTATGGAGAATTCACTCATGCCATATTTGGAGAAATGAATGAATATAGGAAAACATTTGAAAGAAAAGTAAGTTTTATTGCAGATACTTTAAGTGTAAATATTTTGCAGTCTAACTTTGGAGTTAGTTACTCATCATATTCTAGTTGTTGGGTTTTGTTGTCATTTTTCTTAAGTTCTGTACCTGAAAATTGATTTCTTGAAGTTTCAGATCAGTTTCTCAACACAAAGGTAAATTAGTGGACTGCATGCTCTTCCATTGTTAAATTAGTTAATTTTAAATTCTAAGATTAATTCCTTTATTATTTTGAGTTTTCATGCATATGTGCTATTCTTATAGTTCAGTCCCATGTACAAAGAGTCTGGCACCCTGAGACGATCTCTTCCAGAAGTCTGTTTCCTTATTTTGGCAAATGACAAATTTTGGCCAATCTACATGTGTAGAAGACTTTCTTCCCACAGTGCCTGAAATAGGAGGCAGGAATACTTGTTTCCTTTGAGACCTACAGTAAGAGTCATTATATTTGTGAGACATGTTATTTGTGAAAATGCCACTTGCTTTCAGTATCAGACATCGATGACAAACCAGCCCAAGGAGCAGCAACTGGACATCAAGATCAAGAAAAGTGACATACACTTTCATGCTTTCAATTGTGGAGGATCTGACTCTCCTAGCCTTACGTATCAAGCCTGTGTATTTGAGTAAACTGAAATGAAAATGAAGCTGCTGTTAGCAGTGCTGGAGAGGCTGTGTGGAGACTTCTGTCAGAATGATGCAGAATCTGAATAATTGGAGGAGGCAGAAGGGAAGCAGCTAAACTTCTGATTCTAAAAATGAGCTAGAAATTAGGGAGAGAAGACCAATTTTTTTGTGTTGACCAGGGGACACATACTTGATGTGAAAACTGTTGTGATAAAGTAATCATGAAACTGCATAATCTAGAATGATTTTCTGGTATCTGGTGATATTTACCTATTTTATCTTACATAAAATAGGTAAATTGACAGAATCCATTACACAAGATCTAAAAGTATTTGTTAGGTAGTTAAGGGTATTTGATCTTTTAATCTTTTCACTTTTTTTTTTTTTCTCTGAGTTGCTTATATGAAACTCTTTTTTCCCCCATAGGCTTATATGAAACTAGTTTTCAACAAAACTGGGAGTGTGCCTATGGTCGATGTCAGAAAATGTTACTGTGCAAAGAAACATCCTCTAGTATTGGCAGGTAATTCATATGAACAAGCAAAGAAACAAACAAATAAAAATCTCTAACTACAGAAGTCATCTTGTTAGCAGAGACAGCAGATCCAAAAACTGATTGGAAATAAAACTGTTTTCATATTTACTTAGACTTGAGCTGTTAAAGGGGAATTTATTTCATCTGAGGACTTAAAATGAGTCTCTCCAGAACATGGCTATAAATAGTAATGGAGTTCAAATACACAATTTTAATATTTGCTTTTTATCAAGCTGCTAATACTGCCTGTATGCAGGACAGTTCTTTACCTTACCTCTGTAAGCAGTTATTTCTCAGCTTTCATCTGTAAGTTATCAGTGGCAAATATGATATTAATAATTTTCACTTACTAGGATACTCTCATTTTCACATTACTGTTTTCCATCAAAATATGCAAAGATTCCACTGACATGGAATGTACTCAGCACTTGAATAATTTACCCAGAAGGAACTAAAATTTATTTCTGGGACAGGTTTGTGATCCTTTACAGAGGAAATGCTGGTTTCTTCATTAGTTTTTCAGGATTCTCAAAAATGTTTAAAGTCTGTCATTGAAAAAATAAGAGTTTAAATATTTGTATGTCAGTTTTAAAAAACAATACTTCTATGTAGCAAACTAGTCACTGTGAGTGTCTCCATGGTGTCAAGACACTTTCTTTTTTACCTGTAGAAGAGAGGATTTTTTTAATATTGTCAGTGATTTTAATGGTAACACATGAAGTCACATGGGGGTATAGGGATACAATATGTGATTTTTTTTTCCAATGCTTAATGCCATATTTTTTGTACTTTTTTTTCTCAATGCTATGACATCATCTTGAGTATTATATTTATAAAATTGCTGGGACACAGATGTAAATTACAAAACACTTTTCAAATGCCAAGTTCCATCTCAAAGTTTTCCCAGAACTTTGAAATTTTATTACAATAGCCTATGCTGTCTTACAAGATAATTTCAAAATTTTAGTTTACAAATGCATTATGCAGCTTTTACAGTCATTTGAAGGAAAAAAATTTCCCAATCTCATAATTCATTGCAATTGGCTGACACCATGTTTTTTGTTGATACTTAATTCTATCATGCTATTAAAGTAAGTTAATTTCTACTGGTAGTGATAAGTGATCCATTGACTTAATTCTAAAATCAGAATATTGAATTTGTTCATGCCAAAAAATATTGGCAAGCTAAAATTTGAAAATTTCTTGCCTGAAGCATATTACATGCTACATATTCACTCTTCTTTAAAATGTATTTAATAGAAAAATATACTTTCATAGGCAAAACTGCAGAAGAAGAAATGAAATTGTCATTTCTAGAAGCATTAGGAGAGTTCTGCAGCAACCCCAGTGAAGTGTCCTATTCTGAGTTTGAAGATTACTATAAAGAACTAAGTTTTGGAATTGTGGATGATGATGATTTTGATAATATATTAAGGAATTCATGGGGAATTTAGAATGGAAGATGACAAAAAAGAAGGGATATTTTCTAAACAAGGAGTGACTAAATAACGGAGGATTTAGTCTTGATGTGCATTACTTTACTTAATAATTAATAATTAATCAAATTAATTAATAATAATTAATTTTAGGGTTAAAAAACTTTAGATGCTTTCAGAATAATATGTGGCAAATTTCATGGAGTGTTTGTTATGTTAGCCACTCTTCTAATAAAAATGCTGTTCATGTCTTTTCACTGGAAATTATTAAGGCTGTTTCCCATAGCAAAAGCCATATTTTTTTACTATTAAAATAATGTGTCCTATTTTAAAATAAGAGGGAATTAGAATAATAAAATGCCTGAAGGGGTGATGAGCAAGAGAAAATTTTGTTTTATGATGTATTGTGAAAAGCTTCCGATTTGACTGCATAAACACGAATGGTGGCTTTTCTATAGAAATTTTCACATTCTTTGTCTTGCTTATTTTTTCATATGCTGGTACTTAGCTTGAAAGAGAGCAGCTCATTCTTTTTCAATTCTGAGAACTTCTGCTGTACTGAACGTGCAGAGATGTTCACAGCATTTAGCCCTTTAGCCTGCACCCCATCTAGACTGATCTTGCTTTGTCATTTTGGTCAGGCATCGAAGATGTGCATTGAATCTCAAAGGTTTTAGTAATCACACGTGTATTTTGTAAAGCATATCTTCCTTTCCTGTATTTTGCTATTTGGTTTCCAAACAAATGATTTATATTTAAATATCTGTTTTCTTTATATCGCTGGGATTTTTTAACCAAAACACAGTAATTATATATTTTGTCAAACTGATATATAGCATTTCCTATCTACTCTGCAAGTATAAAACAGAAAAATATTTTAAAAAAGGCCCAAAACAACCATTTCTGCCACCACAAAAATTAAATCATAAGTTAAAATATCTTTTCTATTTCCAGTGTTCTGACAGGTATGCTTTTCAATGTAATACATCTTGCTAATTCTGTAAAATTCTTTGTGTTAAGAAATAAAAATATATAGTTAATGAGAAAGAGACTTTGGTTTTCATAGTCCTGTCACTGAAATTATCTGTATGTTGAACTGCATTTCTTAAGCCTATGCAATTAAAATATCTAACTTTCCTCTAAGCTTGTCTGCCTAGTTTTGAATTTATTGTCTGTCATTTAAAGATTCTTCCTCTGAGACAGAATTTGTGTTTCACAGGAATTAAAGGGCAGTGCTGGAATGGATGATGAAATGAGGGACTTTGGCCCCTGTGGCTGGCTAGCATAGTCTAGATATAGTACTTTCTTGTTCTAATAACGTGTGTGTTTCTATGTCTGGATTCTTTGACTGTAGCCTCAAATATAAGAAGTATTGGAGGTTCTACCCTAAATCCTAAAATGAGGGATTTTGGGAGGTTCTTTTGGGGCTGCAAAAGTCTGTATGTATTTTTTTTTCAGGGAAAGGCAGATTTTGTCAATGCATATTCTAAGCAAGAATTCTGACTCATTATGATTTTCTTGTTCCCCATTCCTGCTGGAATTTCTCTCACTGGAAAGGTTTTGTTAATTAGTGTTCTTAGAACTGGTAATTCTGAGAAGGGCAGGTAATTCTGAGAAGAGAAGCTTTAGCTGGTTGTAGAGGGATCTGCTTGTTAATGTGTTCATTCAAATAGCTGAAAAAAATACCAAGTGAAATTTTTGTTCGTTTTTTAAAGAATCATGTACTCTATTTAGACTTTTTCACTTAGGAGAATTGTACCAACAGATAAAACTGTAGCTCAATTTAATGAATGAAAGTGATTGTGAAATGAGTCATTGGCATATTTCTTTATGAAATGTTTAATTTTATTGTGAAGCTTTTAGGAAAATTGTTCCACATTTTATGGAATGGAAAAATTCAAGACACATAGATGTATACTAAGTGGATCTGCTTGTCAGAAGAAGGTGTATAGGTCATATCTGCCAGAAAGTTATTTTGTTGTTATCATGGAAATGAGATGGTTATAAGAACATAGCCTTGGTAGGCCTGCGTTATTTTTTTTTTTAATCTGAAGACAGATCCCTAACAGGATAATCTAAGGTAAATTCTAAAGGTCAACATTTTCCTAAAAATGAAAGCAATACTGTGGTAATTGTGTGAAGCCTGCTATCTATGTAATTTCTATTAAGGTCATTTACACAGGTCCTGCTTGACCAACTTGATCTCGTTTTATGATCAAGTGACCTGCCTAGTGGATGAGGGAAAGGCTTTGGGAGTTGTCTACCTGGACTTCAGCAAAGTCTTTGACACCATTTTCCACAGCATTCTCCTGGAGGAACTGGCTGCTCACGGCTTGGAAAGGTGTGCTGTTGGCTGGGAAAAAGCTGCTGGGATGGCTGGGTCCAAGAGGATGGTGGTGACTGGAAACACCCCCAGCTGGTGACTGGCCACTGGTGGTTTCCCCCAGGGCTCAGCAGTGGGGATAGTCCTGTTTAATACCTTTATTGATGATCTGTATGAGACAATCAAGTGCCCTTTAGTAAGTTTGCAGACTCTGTGGGACTATTGATCTGCTGGAGGGTAGGAAGGCTCTGCAGAGGGATCTGGGCTGGATCAATAGGCTGAGGACAATTGTATGAAGTCCTACACTTGGGCAACACAGCCAAATGCCAGGTCCTACACTTGGGTCACAACATCTCCATGCAGTGCTACAGGCTTGGGACAGAATGGCTGGAAAGTGGCCTGGTGGAAAAGGACCTGGGGATACTGGCTGGCAGCAACCAAACATGATCCAGCATGTGCCCAGGTGACCAAGAAGGCCAACAGCATCCTGACCTGGATCAGCAATAGTGTGGCCAGCAGGACCAGGGCAGGGATTGTCCTGCTGTACCTGGCATGGGTGAGGCCACACCTCACCAGTTCTGGGCCCCTCACTACAAGAAGGACATGGAGGGGCTGGAGCATGCCCAGAGAATGACAACAGGGCTGGTGAAGGGTCTGAAGAATAAGTCATATGAGGGGCAGCTGAGGGAGCTGGGGTTGTTAGTGCAGAGAAAAGGAGGCTCAGAAGAGATCTGATTGCTCTCTACAACCACCTGAAAGGAGGCTGTAGCCAGGTGGGGTTACCCCTTCTCCCAGGTAACCAGCAACAGGACAAGAGGAAACAGCTCCAAGATGCAATGAGGGGAGGTTAAAATTGGACATCAAAAAAAATTTTCACTGGAAGGGTGATTAAGCATTGGAACAGGCTACCCAGAGAGGTGGTGGAGTAACAATCCCTGTAAATGTTCAAGAAATGATTTAGCACATGGTGGTGTTTGGTCAAAGGTTGGACTCTGTGATCTTGAAGGTCTTTTCCAGCCTTACTGATTGTGTGATCAGTTGTTGCCTCATCAGATGTGATGTCTATGGTGAATTTTTAGTGGCATTCGCAAAAGTCACTTTTATCTGCCCACAGTTTCTCATTGTCTAAACTTCAGATGGTGGCAAAGAATTCAAAGCAAATTATTCCCAAGGTTTTCCCACCATGCTCACCATGAGTTGAAAAATACAGTAACTATTCAAACCAAGGGCTATGGTATCTGATTTTTCATTAAGAGTTGTCTCAATGGCCTGATTAATTGTGCTCTGACTTGCTCTTATTTACTTGTGAACATTTTAATGAACCTGAATCCTTTTCTTTAATCCATCCTTTGTAGCTTTAAAACTGTCTGGAAATGTCTACTGGGTTTACTATCTTTAAATGTATTTCAAACAAAACTTTCTGCGTTTGCTATCTTTTTAAGAATTGCCCATGTTTTCCAAATTAGTGTGTTCTTAGTTAAAGTGGGACTCTCAAAGAAGATTCTTCACTGAAACTCACTGCTTAATAAACTATTTGTCTTCATGACACCATGATTTACGCTTCTGCTGAAAAGTTTTAGCAATTTGCTGTAATTGAGAACATCAGAAGTGCATTATGGTGTGAATGTATTTTGTCCTATTAGATGTGCAGGCTCCCAGAAGAGAAGTAGAAATTAGTTAAGTGATTTAACTCCTTATTCTTAAGGTCTGTAACTACTTCATGAAATGAATATGCACTGACACTGTAAACTGGAATGCTGAAGAGCACTTTGAAAAATCGAAGCACAGGCACACAGAGCAAACCTTCAGTAGCTTCACTTTGTCTGCTAATGGAAATGCAGCATCCTCACCAGGGATGGCTTTGTTGCTGAGAGGAAGCATTTTTACTGATTCACACTCAAAACCTCATTTCTCTTCCATAAGTTACTGCCAGGTGATCAAATTGTGGGCATCTTTGCAGCTAGAACAACAAAAAGATTAAAAATGTATCTGCTACTGTGTGTTTGTCGACGTACTGCTTACTATTGGAGTTTGGGTTTTTGTTTTTAGGGTCATTGGTTATTTGATTTGTTAATTGGGGCTTTTTTTTGTTCTTTGTGCATTTTGCTTTTTATTGTTTGAGGGTTTTTTGTGAGGGGTTTTTTGGTAGTTTTATTTTTGGTTTGGTTTTGAGCATGCTATCTCTACATAGAAAAAAAGCCTATAACTGATTTCTAATGTGTTGAAGAAAACAAGTAAGTTTCTGTGGCAGAAAAATGAAGGTAGAAAATCACATGCATATTTTCCTTGATATTACTCTAATAGTTTATTCTTCTTCCTCATACTTACCAATTCAGAAACTGAGATAGTTCAGTACTTGGCTTTTCATGTTGTTAACATCTTGTCTTTGAGAAGTTGAGTCAGAACTACTTTGTTGCAACCATCAGACATCTCCAGTGATGAAAGAGTTCTATTTAGGCTATTGGTTCCACATTTCAAAATATTAGCCAGATTGGAAGGTACTTAGGAAAGAAATGTGGTAAGACAACTTGCATGATGACCCTATAACATATTTTTATTTTGTGACTCCTGTACTTTTGTGGTGTCCCTTTTTGACTGTGAGGAACTTGAGGCCTGAAGTTGATAAAAAATACCTTTGAGCAAAAAAAAAATTAGATCTGTTTATCACAGGTTTCTTAATGTTTATTAGAGCATC